ATAAATAACTTTAGACTTTAACACATGCTCTGATAGGCCGGGATCAGTGTTGGATAGGAAGTTAAAAAAGCTGGATGGGGACATCCCTAGCCAATAATATTATAAAGTGTATTAAAAAGGCAAAACACATATTCTTAGTTAACAGTCAAGTGTGAACGAGTGATTGAGTGTGTGTGTATGGTTGTGTTTTATTTCAAGCATATCACTTATTTTATCGATGTACATATTTTGTTTGCTCTACTGTATCTGACCATTTCTATTGTTTTGTTGAGGACCCTCTTTGGAAATGAGATGGTTCATCTCAAGGGGCTTCTTCACAGAAATAAATAAATAAATAGATAATTAGTCTGTCTGTAGAGGCCCACCTGCTCTCTGTTTGGAGTTCTTGGACTTGGTCCCGTCCATGAGGAAGGGGAAGACTTTGGATGCCGGGTAGACTTTACACAGCATGGTCAGGATGGCCCGGACATCTTTCCGAACCACATCTTTAGATTCTCCCACCTGAGGATGAGGAGGAGGAAGAGGAGGAGGAGTGAGCGTCTGAGGATGGTTAGGCTCCGGAAACAGAGCAGGACCCGTGCTCACCTTGGTGATGAGGTAGGGAACGAAGGAGTTGGCCTCGTACTCGGTGAGGTGGTAGTTCTCCGCGTTGAGCATGCAGAAGAGCAGCTTCAGGTACTCCAGGACCTTCATCAGGACCGTGGTGTTGGTGTCAAAGAAGCGCAGCGTGAACCACTTCAGGATCAGGTCCAGGCAGCTGATGGTGGCCTCGCTCTCGCTCTCCAACCGCTGCAAAAAACTCACTGTAACCGGAACCCAGAGGGATTCTGGCTGACCCCCCCCCGCCCTGCTCTTCATTTATTTAAAAGACTCCCTCATACTTACTGTGTTTGTATATTAGGGCTGGGCGATATGAGAAAAAGTTAAGTTTAATTTTTTCCTCCAAAAATGTTCGATATGAGAAAAGTTATATTTTGATTTTTTTTCCCCAAAAAATGTTTGATATGAGAAAATTTTATATTTTGAGTTTTTTTACCCAAAAAATGTTCGATATGAGAAAAAGTTATATTTATATTTTTTGCCTCCAAAAATGTTTGATTTTATATCATGATATGAAAATATAAAATCTTTTTTTTTTTTTCTGGAATATTACAAAATGTTTGATATGAGAAAGTTATATTTTGATTTTTTTTCCCAAAAAATGTTCGATATGAGAAAAAGTTATATTTAGATTTTTTTCCCCCAAAATGTTCGATATGAGAAAAAGTTATATTTAGATTTTTTTCCCCAAAAAATGTTTGATATGAGAAAAAGTTATATTTTGATTTTTTCCCACAAAAAATGTTCGATTTCAATTCTATATCAAGATATGAAAATGTAAAAGTGTTTTTTTTGGGGGGGATATTACAAATGTAATAAATCGTTTTTTTGGCCCGATTTCCAAAACCCAAAGTCCCTCTTCTCAGACCTTTCTTTTCAACGATGTCGTCTTTCTCCGGGCATCATTTTTACTTGATTCCTGTTCAGAGCTCCCGTCTACAGAGTTCTCGCTCATTTTTAAAGTCAGAGAAGGTTTTACAGTTTGGCTGGAGAAGTTATTTGCTGTAAACTTCAGCGCGAAGCTGTTTAGATGTGATTGGGTTTTTGCAGGTCTGTGAAAACTGATGATTTATTTTTATTTTTTTAAAGGAGTCGGAATATCGAATGTCTCATTTATAGTCGTAGAGAAATTTTACATATAATTAAAATAAAATCGAAAAATTGCCCAGCCCTGATGTATATTTATAGTTTCTGTTAATTATATTCACATCCAAAGATGTCCGCAAAGCACCAACTATGCCAAAACAAATTCCTTGCATGTACTCTGCTTTTTATGATTCTGGACCCGGGGCACCGATACCTCAATCTTTTTTTTGTTGTTTTTTTTTTTGTTTTTTCTACCTCAATCATGACTCCGATGGCCTTCACGTGTCTCTGGAAGTCGAAGTGGAAGAGCTCGTCCTGCAGCCACTTTGCAAAGCAGGTGGACATCTGCGTTTTCAGCTGCTCCACGTACTCGTCCCGGGGGGTCATGAAGTTCCACTTCAGGATCTACCAACAAAAGACTCAGATTTACCGGAACAAACTGCACATCTGGACCGACTGAGACCAGAAGTTTGAGCTCAGAGCGTGGAAAAATAAAAAAAACATACAACCCAGGCAGGGAGCAACCCAGGAGACAAATTCTTATTGTCAAAGTGAGACATTCCCCCCCTTTCATTTCTTCCTGAGAATGAACAAAGCCTTTTGATGTCCACTATCAGATAACATGTGGAAACATCTGTCTTAGAGATGTCCCGATCCAGCTTTTTTCACTTCCGATCCCAATCTATCAGAGCACGTGTTAAAGTCTAAAGTTATTTATCTACCGGTACTTACTTAGTTGTCAGACTCATGTTAAACAGGGATTTACTCTGATAACTTAATGGTTAGGACACAGACCTGTGGGTTACAGCTGCTAATGCTAGTGTGGGATCGGACTTAAAAAAAACAAACAAACTGGATCTGCATTTTCTCCTGCCGGCCGATCCGATCCAGATATCGGATCAGGACCAACCGTTTCTGCTCTCAATTATCAGACAGAAAAGCTCTGGACTCTGGACTCCTTTAGGTAGCTTTAATTAAACTGTTAAAAAAAAAAGAAAAAAAAAAGAGAAAAAAAAGCCAAACTTAGAGAAAAAAAAAAAAGATCATTTATTTCTTATATTGTGTGTAAATTGTGGCATATGCACTGATTGATGACACTTTTTAAATTTCGTTGCTCTTGTGACAATGACAATAAAGATTCATTCAAACCTGCCTGAGTCAGCTGAAGATCACCAATGTGTTTGTCTTTGTATAATTCGATAGTTTGATCTGTTTTTATTCTGTAAAGCACTTTGGTCAGCTCCGGTTGTTGTAAAGTGCTATTTAAATAAACATCGATTGATTGATTGATTGATTGATTGATTGATTGATTGATTGATTGATTGATTGATCAAAGCTAAACCCTGAAAAAGGCTCAGAGCCCGTTTTACCTTCAGCTGCTTCTCCTCTTTGATGCGCTGCTCCTTGGCGTTGGGGATGAGGACGAAGATCGGGCCGGACTTGTCCTCTTCGTCCTTCGGGGCTTTGCCTGCTGGCTTCTTATTGGCCGGACCCTGAGGGAGGAAGTGACATCACAGGGTCAACGGCTGGGCGGAGCCATCAGGTCTAACGGTGAGGTGAGTTCAGATGCAGAAAACAGGAGGAAAAGGAGCCGTACCGAGCCGTGAGAGGGGGTTAGACACACACAGATACACACACACACAAACACAGATACACACACACAAACACACACAGACAAATTGACAGACAAAGAAATACACACACACACAGACACACACAAACTCACAGACAAACACACACAGACACACTCACAGACAGACATACTGAAACACACACAGAAACACACGCACTAACAGACACACTGACAGACACACAGAAACACACACACACTCAGACATACACACAGAAACACACACTGACACACACACACTGACAGACACACAAAAACACAAACGCACACTAACAGACACACACACACACAGAGAGACACATACACACACTCACACACATGGACACACACAGAAAATCACACACACACACACACACACACACACAGACACACACACACACACACACATACACACACAGACAAACACACACTCTCACACACACTCACACACACACACACAGGCTGCAGAGTGCTGGAAGACCCCCTAAAATCGGCGACCGGGTGCGTTCCAGAGGTGAGAATATCGGGTTAGTGGGGGAACGGGTTAGAGGAGCAGTTTTCAGCCTGTTTCACGTCTACCTGTTGGCTGCCCGCAGCCTTCCCTTTGCCGGGGGGCTTTCTACTACCATTACACTCCTTGTCCTTGGAGGGAGGGGGGGGGGAGGGGTCCTCAGGAGGGGAGGACGGCTGGGTGGGGTTACAAATAATAAAACCACAAATAAAAACCACATTTACAAATAATAAAACCACAAATAAAAACCACGTTTACAAATAAAAACCACGTTTACAAATAAAAACCAAGTTTACAGTCATGGTTTGAAACGATGACACAGGACATTTTCATGGAGAGTTAAAAAATAATAATAAAAACATGAAATGTTTGGGAATATTTACATCCTCCCAAAACGGTTTGATTTTTTTGGAGAGAAATGTGAACAGACGCACCTTCTTGGCAGCAGCTCCTCCTCCTCGGATCTTCTTCACCTCCGTTTTGCCCTCGGGGAAGTCCTCCCCACCGGCAGCAGACCGGGAAGCTGCAAACCAGACCAGAGTCATTAAAAACCACATCTAAAGACTGGATTAATGATCAAACAGAAGATCAAATGTTTAATGTGTTGCGATTTCACAGATTTATTTGAAATCACAACAATAAAAATAAACATAAAGCTGTTTTTATGACGAAATCATTCATTCAGATGGAAGATGAAGTCTGTTTTTACCAGGGAAATCTGGGCCTTTAATCAGATAACCCGTTTCAGGCCGTGCTTCTCTTTTAAAGAGGTTCGGCTGCCATGTTTAAAACATGGTTTTATGTAACACCTACCATATGTTTGTTGTCTCATTTACTCGGTTGTACAGTACTTTTTTTTTTAATGATTTGTCCATAATGTTATGTAATGTTTTCATGTGAGGACCCCAGGAAGACTAGTGGCCATTTATTTGGCAGCTAATGGGGATCCTAATAAAACTAAACTAAACTAAACCAGGGACCAGGGAGCCGGATCCGGGTCAGACCAGGTTCTGGGTCAGACCAGGCACCAAGTAGCAAATTCTGGGTCAGAACAGGGAACGAGTTCTGGGTCTGACCAGGTAGCTGGTTCTGGGTCAGACCAGGGAGCAAATTATGGGTCAGAACAGGGAAAAAGGTCTGGGTCAGACCAGGTTCTGGGTCAGACCAGGGACCAGGGAGCCGGGTCTGGGTCTGACCAGGTTCCAGGTCAGACTGGGTAGCGGGTTCTGGCTGGTCCTGAGATTTGATGCACCGAATGTGGCGTTTATCAGTTCAGTTAACACTGATTGTTTTTTTTTCTGTGCGTGTGTTTATATTTTTCTCCAGGCGTCTGCAGGGCCCCCTAAAAAAGGCAAAGGTGCCTCTGCAGCCGGAGGCAAAGCAAAGAAAGGGTCCGACAGCAAAGAGTTCACCGAGGCCGAGCTGACAGTAAGTCCGAGCCTTAAGAGTCCATGTGGATAAACTAGTAGCATATTAAGGATCTAAATAGGTACTTTACCACATAAAAATCAATCGTAACTTAAAAAAGCGACAATTAAAACCACTTTAAGCAGAATTCAGCTGCCGGTTGCTGCTAAATTTGCTGCATTTGGTGCTGAAGTCTTATGCATTTGTGTGTCTTAACCTGGATCATGTTCACCCGAATAAAATTTCAGTCAGAAGACTTTTTTTCCCGCTTTTTTCCGGGTTAATTCATGAATATTAGAGTCTCAGACGGACCAGAGAGTTTACAGCCTGTCGCATGGAAACTCGCTCCAGGAGAGTGGCCTCAAATCTTTCAAGTCACAGGTGTAAATACACTTCAGATTGGGAGTCTAGAGCCACAAAATCCTGGTTTGGTGACACACAGTGGCAGGAATAAATAGCCAGTCGTGTCTTGGCTCCACTTTGTGTGTCCAAGTGATGTTAGGACCCTAGGGATGTCCAGCTTTTCACTTCTGATCCTATCCCGGCCTATCAGAGCATGTGTTAAAGTTTAAAGTTATTTATCTACTTACTTAGTTATCAGACTCATGTTGAACAGGGATTTACTCTGATAACAACTTAATGGTTAGG